TTGTCTTGGCATATATGAAGAAGCAGTAAACTATAAAGACACTGGGCATATATTTCCCTCTTTTTCTTCATTGTTTTCTTTATAACTTGTTCAGTGTGAATCCTTCCCTTAGTGGTATTCTTCACATTAATCAACAAAATTTCAAATACCTTTCTGGTCTCTGGATCGTCGTCTATCAGAATACCGCGGATGTGTCGAATGCGTTCAGGATCATTACGTTTCCACAAGGGTTCATGAGAATGTTGCCCATTACCCTGACTAATGGGTTCAATATCTTCTGAATCTATCCGATAATACATGCACAACACCTGATAGATAGACAAAAGGAAATTCCAAAATATCTATTAGAAAAAGCAAATTATGACAATAAATATTATCCATCAAATTGTAACATATCAATATAAATACAGACTTTCCGTATACATACCCTAAATGGTTGGTAAAGATGTTTTGCTGCAAAATGGGCATCAAAGCTGGCTCGTACTGAAGATCTGACATTGCAGTAGCCACATTTATACTGACTTTTGATAGCATGCTTAAGGCTTGTGTGGTTAACCATCTCCTGCTGTGTAACTGAGCAGAACTTGCACAAATCACACAGCCACTGTGGGTCTTGAGGAACTTGAGGAATAACTGGTGTTGCAGGTTCCTAAAATGGATAATGCATGAAAAAATCTAACCTTGGTTCTTCCTCAGAAAAAGGAAAGAAAAAATACCATAGGAGTATAATAAAATACTAGAACATGTTAATCTATCAATTATTTTTGGAATTCAGCTACTATAGAAAACATTTCCAATGATAAACTACAGGAAATATTTGTTTTCAAATATACTTATAAAATATACCTCTATCTTTTCCTCTTGTTTCTTTTGACCATCTGATTCATCTGGCTCACGGATAACAAAATCAAAGGCCTTCTTAGTTGGATGTTTTTCTTTCATGTGGCGTTCGACAACATTTCTTCGGTAGGATATATATGAGCACCATCCACACCTAAAAATTTATTGGTACATTTGTGACATGGTGAAGTACTTTTTCACCCCCCTGAATTCCTAATTAATGTTGAGCACTTTTGGAATCCATTATCACACATATCACAAATTTTATAATCAAACAAACATGCATACATGCACACATAAAAAAAAGGGAATCCATTTCAAAAATACCTGTAAAGCCTGTCTCCATGCAGCTTGAAGTGGGAGCTTATCTTTTCAACCGTTATTGTTATATCAGTACAGTGTGGGCAAGGGAACGATGTAATATCGGCATGCAGAGTGCGAATGTGATACTTCAACATCATGTCATCACAAGACAAGTAGTTGCATCCATCAATACCACACGAATGCAACCGTTCATCAGGGACATACTTGGGCAACTTTTCATACTCCTCTGTTGGAATAGGATTCTTAGTTCTCATATCTATATCCTCCTTCTTCTTCTTGGCTTCAAAGCTGCTACCTGCCAGGTTCATCATCTTATCAAACATGAGTTCCTTCCGTTCCAAGCAGGGCACTGGGTTGATGGGCTGCTTTGTTGGAATTGGGCTGGTGTCACCTTCAGCTAAGTACAACCTCTTGGGAATACCTTCTGGGTATTTTTCATGCAATTTGATATGCTTTATTAAATTCAATCTCACTTTAGAAATAAAATGACAGTAGTAGCACTTTAGATCTTGATATGAGACGTGTGCTTTGGGAATCCGGCCAATATCTTCAATGGCATATTCATTCTTTCGTTTCCTGTGGGATTCCTTAGCAGGTGGTACTGCATCTTTAGGATACACGATGTACTCTTGTGTTTCTGGATCTTTAATCTTTGGATCCTTTAAGACCTGCTTAAAACCTGAACACTTATGGATCTGTTTCATGTGATTTTTGAAGTAATGGACCATGGTTGCTTTATAATCACAACCAGCCACTCCACAGCGATACCTCTTTGGCCCATGGACCCGAAGGTGCTCAAAAAGAGTGCTCAAGTGTCGGCACTGTTTCCCACAGTGATGACACTTCAGGACGGTCGAGTCTTGGGCAAAGTTGCACACTTGGAGATGCTCCTGAAGATGAACCTGAGTTGCACTGGAGTACTCGCACCTTACATTACACAACGATAGAGAGCGTGACTGCTTAATCCTGTTTTCTCAGTGCTTGGGGATGTAAGGCCTTCTTCAATGCTGCTACCTGAACTCTTACTTAAACCATCTCCTTCACCTGGGGACAGAGACAAAATTAGTGTGCAACTGAGAGATATGAAGAGGGTTGGGAGGGAGGGATGGAAGGAGAGACAAAGGAGAGGAAAGGAATAAATTGAGAAAGTTACAGGCGAGAAGGAGGGAGCGGAGGAGGCCGGATAGAATGGAGCAGGCACAGATAGGGAAGGCATTGAGTACGAGAATGGCTGGAGAGAGTGGAGAGGAGCAGAGAGCAGAGTAGAAGGGAGAGTAGAACGAGAGGAAGCGACGGTGAGAAGAGGCTAGAGACGAGGAACGAGTAAGAGGAGTAATATATGAGCGTGTCAGAGAGAGAAGAGCGTGGGGAGCATGGAGGATATGAGAAGAGGAGAGAGTGGAGAGAGAGAGAGAGAGAGAAGAAGAGAGAGAAGCGAGGAGAGACGAGAGAGAGTAGTGTAGATAGGAATCGCGAGTGTGATGAGAGAGACGAGCGTTGATGGAGTGAAGATGAGAGAGTGGAGGAGCACACAGGTGGTGAGAGAACGGTGGTGAGCATTAGTGAGAGAGAGAGAGACGAGAGAGAGAGAGAGAGAGAGGAGAAGAGAGAGAGAGAGTGAGAGTGGAGAGTGCGAGTGAGAGAGAGAGAGAGAGAGGGAGAAAGGAGAGAGAGTGAGAAGAGAGAGAGAGACGAGAGAGAGACGAGAGACGAGAGAGAGAGAGAGAGAGAGAGAGAGAGAGAGAGAGAGAGAGAGAGAGAGAGAGAGAGAGATGAGAGAGAGAGAGAGAGAGAGAGAGAGAGAGTGAGAGAGAGAGAGAGAGAGTGAGAAGAGAGTGAGGTGAGAGAGAGAGAGAGAAGAGAGAGAGAGAGAGAGAGAGAGAGAGAGAGAGAGAGAGAGAGAGAGAGAGAAGAGAGAGAGAGAGAGAGTGAGAGTGAGAGTGAGAGTGAGAGAGAGAGAGAGAGAGAGAGAGAGAGAGAGAGAGAGAGAAGAGAGAGAGAGAGTGAGAGTGAGAGAGAGAGAGAGAGAGAGAGAGAGAGAGAGAGAGAGAGAGAGAGAGAGAGAGAGAGAGAGAGAAGAGAGAGTGAGAGTGAGAGTGAGAGAGAGAGAGAGAGAGAGAGAGAGAGAGAGAGAGAGAGAGAGAGAGAGAGAGAGAGAGAGAGAGAGAGAGAGGGCAGGGGGGGGGAGTGATCTAGTTATACAAGTTCAGTCATTCAAAATACTTTATCATGTTTACCTTGTTTAGCAGCATTCTCGGCTTTACTATCTAATTCCCGAGACAAGCTCCTTGACATTCTCCTCCCTTCAACATTCCAGGGACTCTGTTCATAAGATAAATCCGGTTATGGTAAATTTTTGGTCGATACCTCTGCATCCCTCGACTTTATCATGTAATTAGAAATATATAATTGCAACATATATAAAATACATTTAAGAACACCTGACATAATCAATAAAACAAATAAGCAAATTCTATGAACTGCAAATTCACCTGTGGTCTTTCCTTTACAGGAGCCGGTGTTGGCGATGCACTTCCAGCGCCATCTGGACTGCTTTCTGAAGGCTTTCCATCAGGCTTCGAAGTGTGCTTTTTATCTCCTTTGTTGCTCGGATCTTGAGGCAGAGAAGACGATGGAGGGGGTGGACCACTGATGTCCGTAATGTTTACATTTGGACCACCTGCACTAGAGGTGGTTATCTGTTTACGGAGGAGTACTTTCCCAGGACGTCCAGGATGACAGTTGAGAAGGTGATTGAGTAGGCGCTCCTTTTCGGCATCTCCATGTAGGCAGTATGGGCACTGGTACTCATTCATTTGATGTTCTCGCATATGCTAAACAGATTTCATGGTTTCAGTAATCATTCACCATATCTTTGTACTGTACTCACTCAATGACAAATAAGTTACATCCTACTGTAAAAACTGGGAACATATCACTGAATATCACAGGGTCCTTGCAAGACTGAATGCTACTTACATCAGACCTCAATCCTAAACAACTGTAAAGTTCTTGAGGAGCTTTACATAACTAAAATCATTTGAATATTCATGGGAGTTCCAAAGAGTAAAATCAAAATGCAATGTACAGATAAAAAAAAAAAAAAACAGAAACTTACATATATCAAAGGTTGAACATGAAGATGCTTGTGGCAGAAATCACAACTAAGTACAGCAAACTGACCATGGTTGCTGACAACATGGGTTCTGAATGCTTCTGCATCAACAGTGCGATACTGACAATCTTCTGCAAAAATGAAAAATATATTAACATTTTCTAACATTCTAAACAGAAACCATTAAAGTTCACCATACAATAGAATGATTTCATGTCAGCTAAATATATATATCTATTCCCATCCCACAAAAATTTTGGTATATTAGTCAATATGTCTCTAAAACAAAATCAGTTGCTCATATATAACATTTTCCATTAACTTAGTATCCTTCACAATATGCAAGGCCTAACTATTCTTCTCATGCATCACAAATAATCCGCATATTCTAGTAATTTCATAAAACATTAGACCCAATGGGATACTTCCATAAAGAGATGTACAAAATACTGCATTCTAAATAATGAAATAGAAATCATGTACACAGCATATACAATTTTTTTTTTTTTTTTTTATAATACTTGCAAATGATAAAGAGAATCATCGATCTAGGAAAATGAACTGAAAACTTACTGTAGCTACATTTGTATGGCCGAACAAACTGGTCAATAGGAGGATTTGGCGGATGCTGAGACTGAATCGTACCAACTTTGATGTAGCGTGGCTCGACATCAGGATGGAAATTTTTCTGTAAAGATTATGTAGTTTGATTTACAGTATAAAATTATTATCACTTTTATCTACAAAAGAAAAGAAAAAAGAAGAAAAACTATATACAACTTTTCTTTTAAGGTATAAAAAGGTGTGAGAATGAATAACTCCACAAGGTTATTGATGTAACTGACAAATTTCAATACGAATTATGTAATTCTGAGGAAGATCTGACTGTGATTTGTCACCTACATCTCTTGGAATTATTTGCTCTCATTTATACTCATTCTTATATTCCTCATTATCATTTCTCTTAACCCTCTCTATGCACAATCCCATCTCCCACACTCTTATGGCAAAAGCTTCTGAACAATTCACGTTCCTTACCAGATGAACTCCCATGTAGATTTTAGTAAATGCCCGATACAGGCAATACTTGCACTGAAACTGGCAATGACTATGTTCTGTTATAACGTGTTGTACCAGCTTTTTTGAAGTGAGTGCATTCTATCAGATCATACAAAATACTTATAATTAATTAATTTAAAACACGCTTACCTGGCCCCAATCAATATATACTACTACACTCTATTGCTGTTACAAGGAGTTAACCCACATTAGGTATGGAACATTGATCATTATTAGAAGATGTGGGAAGAAAGATAATGTGTAGCAATTCTCAATACTGAAAATAACATTGAAACTTGCTCATTTTGAGGTGAAGGAAAAAGTGGACAAGAATTTAATATTAGAGAAAAAAATCTCTTTATGCCCAGGACTGTCAAAAGGCTCTACTCGAAAGGTGGAGAAGTGGTTTTTTTTTATTGGAAGATATTGACATTTGCCCTTTAGGTTTGTTGGCTGTGCTATACAGGAGCATTCTGCCCACTCCCAGAGGTGGAGGACTCTACCTTGGGTGCATCAAGCCCAAGGCCTGAGGTGGAAGAAGGGTCTACTTTGAGGTCATTGTTATTTGTTTTCAAAGTTTGTGGGGCTTTATCAAAAACTAGAGAATAGGGACCTGTTCACTGAGCTGGATGCAAGCCTAAGTATTTTCTTTCTTTTCCATCTGAGTTGGCAAAATTCAGAGGGGGCCAAGGATGGCTGATACTGGAGGTACTTTATAATATGGATGATAGAAAAAAATAAAAAATAAATAAATAATAATAATAATGATAATAATAAATTCAGGCAAACACAACAAAGAGTATGATCCCTCTCATTTCTCCATCTATCCCTCTCACTCTTCTTCCTCCCACCTTTGGTCATTTCCTTTTTCTCTTCCCCTTTCTAACTACTACTCAAAATACAATAAAAAGTTTACTAACCCTCGCCAAACATCTGAGATGCTGCTGTAGGATCTAAGGTGGCCACACTTTCAATGCGCAAGAATCCTGGGTCATCTGAATCTACAAAGGAAGAGATTAGATAATAGTAGTCGTATGATATTTCCATAAAATAGATACATAATTATCAACACTGTCTCTTAGTTGCAGAGATGAAATATATTTAGTGCCCTAAATACGTTCATCAAAGAGGCGAACAAAATATTGCAAAAGAAATTACATATACATGAATAGTATCATTCATACCACAAAAACACTAACTTGATGGTTGTTTATACAAATCCATTTATAAGCTTTAGTTATATCAAATATATACATTTATGCAAAGCATCTTAGACTTCAATTCATAGCTACATATAGAAGCTGCACAACCCCTAACAGCTGAAATCAAAATAATTTCTTTAAACATTTTCTTCCAAGGAAATTTAATATCAAAAACATCTATTGTACTCTACTTGGACTATTGTTCTTTAGCCTAACAAGTGTTGAACATAATGACATGATGCAATATTCTTCAAAGTTCAACATTACATTTCCAAGGTCAGTGAACAAGTCAACAAAAATTTAATTAAAAAAGTAACAATCAGGCTACACACACACAGGGCATATATAAGGTTGTGCATTCCAAATCAGCTGGCTTCCTGTTCCAATGTGATGATGATCTGAACAAAAGATGAAGCTGCGGCTTCTATTGCTGATTCAAATTGAGAATGAATTTTTGTATAGATAAAACAAATGCAAATTGTTATACCCTCACCACAGCTTTGCTTTCTGATTTTTTAAGATAATCACTTCAGGAAAAAAATATATATATACAATAAAAAATAAAGGTATATCATCTTAGTTGTCATGCTACACCTCACCAGCAGAAAAATCCTTGAGTAAGGATACTTGTCGTCCACTGATTGATCAGTGATAAATCCGAAAGTGAGGATATCATTACACAGTCTCCAGTAACATTAAGCCCTACGATCCTGATGACGTTACGGTCCCATCATGGAATAATCTGGGTCAAGGGCAGAGTGACGTGATCATGACGTCAACACGCAAAATGGCCACATGCCAGTTGATGCAAACTTGATCTCATGAGCAAAGGCCAGGGTGATGGAAAAGACTCACTACAAGTGCACAAATCTCTTCGGACTATGATTTGACTCATTTGGTGCTTAGACGGACGCCATTTTCATGCTGTGCACCGTATTCCTGGCCATCGTGACCAGCAGTGCAGGTTTTATTACAGAATATAGAAAATTACAAAAACATGAGATATATGACACAAATAAACAAATGCTCCATACTTTTTTTTCTTGTATCAAGTTATTTACTACATAGAGATGATATGGAATTTGTGCAAAGAAAATAAGCTATTACCATCTGGATAAAACAAATCAAAAGACAAATATGGAAATTGAAAAATGACAAAAAGGCTAAAAAAGTTTACACAAAATAAATTTGCATAAGGGAGGTACAGTCTTGTCTTTGCTCATGGGCATTCATGCGCACCCAGCCTACGCACCGCACGTCTGGGATGTCGGCTACTTACATAACCCACTGCCCGTATTTTCAAAATAAAAGAAATTACTTTATCATTAAAATTCATATGTTGATGGTCACTGAATATTAGTGGATATGCATCATCAAATATATGAATAGGTAATTAAATGCATTACCCTTGATATTTTGCAAGTCTTGACAAGAATTTCAATTTCTTTTTTTAAAAATTATTTTAAGCTCTGCATTTATCTTTCTCCTCCCCCTTTCTCTTCTTTCTTTCCAGTTTTAACCCTAAAGAACGAGTTGTCACAATTGTGGCTTTTCAAAAAAAAAAAAAAAGGCTCCAAGCAGCCAGAATAGTGCAGAGCTACTTAAAAACTGGTGGATGCTTTTCCTACATTTTTTCGCTGTCCGTGGAAGATATGTCTGTCCTAACTCTCTCCCTCTCTCACTTCCTGTCTCTTTCCCTTCTCTTCCTTTCCCTCTCCCTCCTCCCTTCCTCTCTCTTTCTCTTGCTCTATGTCTTTCTCTTGTCCCTCTTTCTTTCCCTTTCTTTTTTCCTTTCTCTCTCCTTCCCTCTTTCTCTGTCCTTTATATTTACTCCTGTACCTTGCCTCTTCAAGGTAACTATTTTCAACTTCGACGCTTTACTGTTTGATTACTATGAGACATACCACAAGAAGACACAGTTTCTGGCACGTGAATTCTAGCTCTACAAAGCTTAACAATAAAAACTGCTTATAGTAAAAGATGAAAATTTGCTGCTTTTAGGTGGCTGGGCACGACAACAGGTTGCCAAAATGTTGCTTTTGTGGGTAAAGAGAGGAGGGGATAATTTCAGGTTTAAGGGCACATTTTGCTATCGATTTTCTAATTCTTGGCCAAGTTGCTAAAAGTCATGTGTGCATGTGTGCATGTGTATGTGTGTGCTTCTGTACATTTCTATTTTTTATCAATATCCATATCCACAGCTATATCTGTATCTATATCTATTTATCTATCTATCTATATATATATATGGTCCTAAACATTTGCCAAGGTTATGCATGTTCTTTACATCTGATACAAACATTAATCAAAAATGTGGACATCAATGCTACTATTAGGATAGCTTTTGGATATGTCACATGGTACCCAAGACCATTTAATTTCGTCTGATAAAGTCTTGTTGCTATTCACAAAAAGTACCGAAAAACATATCAATAAAACTGAAAAAATAAAAACACTGATGCTGCCCAATCCATCAATGTTAAGGGGGCTGGTGGAGGATGCCCACACTTAGCTTTCTTTAAACTTTGAACCTATTTTCTACTGCTTTTTAGCTTTATCTCTAATCTAAAGCTTCTGTAAGGCCTTTTTATGTCTTGTATAACAACAACTTTTGATTTACTACCATTCTTATACAAACTGCAATGCAATTAGGTCACACTTGCAAATAATCAGATTTATAAAAGCCTCTTATAATTAAAATACATATCTTTATCCCTATATTTTCATCTTTATTTTCATTACTATCTACATCTGTATATATCTAGTCATCTAGCTAGATAGCTAGATAGATAGAGGTAGTGAAAGAAAAGATGTACCTTAATTTTCCTGTGCATGTGCATGTAGACACATCTGTTTATAACTGTATTTACCCACTGTTTCCCAGAAGTCATGCATACATGTAATTTTTATCATGGTTATGTGTGTTTATTATTTTTCACACAAAGATGGCTCCACAAGGGCTTAAACACTTAGTAGTCCCTTACTTTGTATAACCGATCTCACTTATACTCTTTCTTAGATATCTAGGAAACAATTTGTACCATTATCAGTATTAGTATTGTTATTAATGTTGTTATAACAATATAAATAATGACAATGATATTAAAGATAACATCAACAGAAAAAGTCTTTTCTTGATAATTCAAGGAATATAATATGAAGTCAGGTTGATTTAGTTATCGACCTCTTACGGAAGACTAATTTGTAGAGCTATCTATGTGTAAGATTTAATAAAACAGTGTAATTGACAGTGCATGTAGGCTACCATCACCAAAGCCCAAATGTGAAATAAATCCATCTTCAGAAAACTTCTTTAAAGAATCTCCTTCTCCATGATCTCGCAAGCAGAAAACGCATATAAGCAGCATACACAAAACAAAACATAACCATGCATTTGCAGAATAATTAGGCTGACTCACCCTTCCTAAGACTCTCCGCTGATGGTCATCATGAAAGCAGA